TTCCACCAACTTTCAGCTAAACAGTTCTTTATCCACCAGATGATGCTGTTGAGTGGCACTGGGCCTTCCAGACTCAGGATACCACAAATCTGCCAGTGCTGAGATTTTACAGTGATGGGTGAAGCATAAGAATGTAGCAAGAATAGAAAAGTCCAGAAAGCAGAACTCAGGTGCCACATGTGATAGTGCGTAGTGGTACCTCTAGGCCAGCCATTCAGATGTACTCCTTTCCCCTATTCATATTGTATTTCAAAGTACATATTTTGAACCCGGTTCATTGTTAGTGTAAGTGCATGTAACTCTTTGGGACACCCCAGCACTGACTTTGGCTCCTAACTTTAAGATTGAAATGTATCCCATTAAACCAGCAATTGAAAGATACAAACCAACACAACTTTATTTTCTATACGTTTTTTTTCTTACCAGCTGTAACCTAAAATGCTTTTTATGGTTTTTAAAGCAGCAAGTGTTAAAAATAATATCTGAACAAAAGAGAAGCAGCTGTGGACAAGGAAGAAAAGCTGTGGCTTCACAGGCAATTTCAAATATAATCATGGTGCTCAGTACAACATCAAATCAACCCCTTGTTTGGCATATGCCTCATTCTTACTAACTCTACAGTGTGCAGGGCTGCCTTATTATCAGACCTTTTTCCTAGCGTGCTCTTCTGGGCCTAAGACTTTACATTTAGCAACAAGGAGGCAGTTGTAGTCCTAAAGTAGCCATTTTGTTGCTGGCCATATTTCCCTGTCTTCTAGCTAGTGAGTACCTAGTCTGTTTTCCCCTTTCTTATTACCAAGGTGTTGGTATATCCTCACAAAGCGATGTAACACTCAGATTATGCTTTACACCTTCGAGACTATATCAACGTTAACCAGCTAGTCAGTAAGGAAAAGAGCTGTAGGTAGGTTGTTGCAAATGGCAGGAGCTTGGGGGCGGGGGGGGTGTCCCCAAGTTCAAGCACCAGCGGCAGTATCCTTGTGTGAACAGTAGGCATCTTATACCGAAACAGAGAGATGGGGGGAAGTGGTTAAAAAGGTGAGAACAAGGCCACGGGAGGTTGTAAAAATACACCTCTACCCCTATATAACGCTGTCCTCAGGAGCCAAAAAATCTTACCGCATTATAGGTGAAACTGCGTTATATTGAACTTGCTTTGATCTCCCGGAGTGTGCAGCCCCCCCCCCCCCGGAGCGCTGCTTAACCGCGCTATATCTGAATTCGTGTTATATCGGGTCACGTTATATCGGGGTAGAGGTGTACCTAGACAAAGAAATGTAAGAACGATCACTGTTGTAAGACTAGCAACATCTAATGTAGGTGTAATGGGATAAATTAAAAATGGGCTGTCAACCCAGACTTTACCTTGGAAGAGGGGCTAATAAAGTAAGCACTACTCAAGCCTTAACTACAGCATATCAGTGCTCAAAAGTACCACGACAGGAACACAAATGCCCAGTTTTTTTAGCCAAAGGATAAGTGAGCCCAAAACATCTGATTTTTCACAGTGCCTTGACTTTGTTCTAGTCTCAGATTGTTGGATCCTTCAGGGTAACATTTGGCCCCTTTGGCTCAGTCTTACCTCTCTTATATGTGTGCATTTTTCTATTAGAAAGGAAGGATGGTCTTGTGGTTAAGGTACTGGGCTAGGGCTTGGGCTCAGGATATCTGGGTTGAATGCCTAGCTTTGCACAAAGTTTCTTTGTGCTCTTGGACAAGATTTCTCTGTGTCGCAGCTGAAAAATAGAGGTTAATAACACTTTCAGCTCACAGACGTTCTGAGCACAAACTCCCTTATAATATTTTGGAAGTAGTTAGGTACAGTGGTGAGGTGGGCTATCTGAACAGATTATTCGCCATACGCAGTACTTTGTCTTGTTTGGGTTTTATTCATTTTCCCTCCTAATATGAAAAACTGCCATTTGTCAACTACTGTAGTTTGAAATAGGCCTGTTGCCTGTCTCTTCAGTGCCTCTTCCCATCAAGCCCGAACTGTTCTCTCTCTGACTTTGATATCCCTTCTTTGGGCGAACTGTTGCTGTGCCAAGCAGACCAGGAAGAGGGCTTCAAAAACACTAGGAAAGACTACAGGAATCCGAGAGCTGAATCAGTATCAGAAAGCCTTGGTTAGCAGGAAGGATAAGTAAACCTTTTCCATTTGTATAATCTTTCGTCCTAACGGCTAGGGAGAAGCACTGATGGGTGTGTGGACAATATTAAATGGGGGTGGCCAGTATAGACAAGGACAAGGAGGATCAGCGACTGTGTAACCTAATAATAATAATGAAGAGATTTGAAACATTTCATTACCTGATAAACAGGACTAAATTCTGACCTCAGCTACAACTGTGCAACCAACCCCTCCAGAAGCCAGTAACATATCAAACACACACACCCCTTAAACATGTTGTGGAAGTGCTGAGCTATGAGTAACTTTCCAGATGGAAGGATTGGGGCCTCTATATATCCAGGGCTGTTCTAATCCAGAGGAAGATGATCAGTGTTATGTGCAATACTTTTTTTTTACACATACCCACCAAGATCACTGAATGGTCCCTGACGAACCACACATAGGCAGGATGAGCATTTAAGATGATTGATTTATTTATTTATTTTGCGGCATGATGCACTTGCAGTGGGGCTTTACAAGCAGCCCTGATCATGATGCTACAGGGGCTGGGGAAGAATGAAGCTGAGGATGCAGGGCCTGGAATAGTTTCACACTGCCCTATAGCTCCTACCAGAACTTTTCCTTGCAAAGAAGAAAAAGCAGACTTGTATAGCTTGTCCTTTGGGAGGAGGCGAAGGATGTGGTTTAAACAAATGGGCTCAAGCTGACTTCCAAAGGGCTCGGGTGGAAGCTCAGAGCTAAGGGAACTGACTAGCTTGTGTCTTTGCCAGATAAAGATTTTTTTTTTTTTAAAGTAGAACGGTAACAAAAAAACAGAAAAGGGGGAACTATTTACAAGGGCGGGAAGCGGAAGCTTTATCTGCAGCCTGCTGGGGAGATAAGCAGCTTGGGCTGGCCCATCTCTGCGTCGCTTGGACTCACTCGTTGCCTTCGAGTCTCCCAGGAAAGAGCAAAAGGAGCTGCTGACATTTCTGCTTAAAAGGAAGAATCGATGAATCTTTGTTTCCCACCGCCTGCCTGTTTGACCTTATTGTGTTGCGGAGTAGAAAAGAAAGAAAAGGGAAGGGGTGGGGGGGAGGCGATTCGTGCTAACAAAATCCCAGACAAGATCGCAGCCCCTCTGATCGTCGCTGGAGATGTTATTGTTTGGTTGTTGTCTTAGTTGCTGCTGGGGCTCATTTCGGATTCTCGCCCCGCTGTAATAAGTCACACGCTTTCCAGCTATCATCCCCGTATTGACAGGCAAATGTCACCCGCCTTTGATTGACGTCCATTGCTCTTGCACGCAGAAGTATGATTTAGGAATCAATTCTGCTTATTTATTTAAAGAGCGCTTTATGCAGCTTGTAGCTTTGTTAACTGGGTAACTTGCTTAACAGCCTCTGTGGGGAGTTGGCCCCAATGTAACATGCAGGCTGGTCTTTCGCCTACCCACTCAGACCAGAGGTGCCCACCAGCCCCCAGTGGGAAGCGGTGGGGAGGAAGGGACCCTGCCATCAAAACTTATTTCCTGTCCCTATCTTTACCCGGGGCAGCCCCTTGCCTTGAGTCCTGGGCTAGGCTGATGTGCATGAGCGGGAGCCCTTTTCACTGGCTTGGTTTCTTAAACTTCTTTATCACAACGCCATATTCTGAACAAAACGGGAGCAGCCTTGGACAAGTCACCAGTAGATGGTTTAATTTTAATTCCAAGAGCGAGACATTTCCCACGAGCTATTTCTAGGGGTGTCATAAGGAACATGCCCGTGCTCTAAAATCCGTGGGAGCAGCTAATCTCCTTTCGCCTGAGCGGAGGGAGGTGTGGTTTCAAATAACTTTCACTCGGACAATCAGGTGAAGTGAGAAGCCTGGTCCTGAGATGAGAAGTGATATTTCCAATCCCATGTTAATGTGGCTGGGGAGAGCTCGGGGACCCATTAACCAGGAGGTGGGGGTGACCTTTCCGTCCTAGCTCGGTGACCCGTCAGGTATCCAAATCCAGCTCTTCCCCTCGGGCTGCTCCGGAGAGACTCTCAGCGCCAGGGAGTGCTCACGATTTCACTGTTCATCCGTTTGCAGGGAGGGAAAAATCCCCACACTGGCAGGGTGATGCCAAACTCGGTGTGAGTGGGAAGAGCGGAGCAGCTGCTGGAATGAGATGCCAAAGCAGCTCCCCTTTCCCCTGCGCTTTTGGGTGCTTATAAATTGCTTCGGCGCCTTTGTCAGCCTCCTCTTCTCCTGGCAGGTGGCAGGCGGGCAGGCTCCAGCGCTCACTCTGTCGGCGGCTCCGCACCCAGCCAGCAGCCCCACAGAGCGCCCGCGGGTGCGCGTTGCAGGAAGAAAGCAGGAACCGGCGAGGAGGGGACGGGGCCGCTGCCGCGAGGGGGGATTTTTCGTGCGCTCTTGCAAGTTTCACCAGCCGGCGCTGCCTTGGGAGACTTCTTGTCGCTGCAGAAAAAAAAGGAGGGGGGGCAGGAAAGCGGGGCGATCGCGAGGGGCGCGAAGAGGCCGGCGCGAGGGAAAGTTGATTCGAAGTGGCACCGTATGCAAAAAAAAAAAAAAGTCGATCGCCAGCAGGAGCATAAAAGTGTGAGCGGCTCCGGCGCAGGGCGGCAGCTCCCTGCGCGCTAGAGCAGCGGCAGCCACAGGTGCCCGGGGCTCAGACTTTGCCTTGTGGAGCGGCCGCGGGCACTTTCCTCGCCCCATCGCCGCAGGAGCGGAGCCGGGGGGCTCGGGCTCGCCAGGGGCTTCGGGGTGTTTTCGGCTCTGAGGAGGTCCCCGCCCAACCAGCAAGATTTTGTCCAAAAGCAGGCAGGAGGATCGCCCTGCGCTGAGCCGGCTGGTGGGCAGCAGGCGGCGGCTGATCGCGGCCGGCGCCCTGGGGGTGGTCATGGTGCTGCTGCTGGTCATCCTCATCCCGGTGCTGGTGAGCTCGGCCGGCACCTCGGCTCACTACGAGATGCTGGGCACCTGCCGCATGGTCTGCGACCCCTACGGCGGCACCAAGGCGCCCAGCACGGCGGCCACGCCCGACCACGGCCTCATGCAGTCCCTGCCCACCTTCATCCAGGGACCCAAGGGCGAGGCCGGCCGGCCGGGCAAGGCGGGGCCCCGCGGGCCGCCCGGGGAGCCGGGGCCGCCCGGGCCGGTGGGGCCCCCGGGGGAGAAGGGCGAGCCCGGGCGCCAGGGCCTGCCGGGTCCCCCCGGGGCGCCGGGGCTGAACGCGGCCGGGGCCATCAGCGCCGCCACCTACAGCACCGTGCCCAAGATCGCCTTCTACGCCGGCCTCAAGCGCCAGCACGAGGGCTACGAGGTGCTCAAGTTCGACGACGTGGTCACCAACCTGGGCAACCACTACGACCCCACCACGGGCAAGTTCACGTGCTCCATCCCCGGCATCTACTTCTTCACCTACCACGTGCTGATGCGGGGCGGCGACGGCACCAGCATGTGGGCAGATCTCTGCAAGAACAACCAGGTGAGGGGCCGGGGCCCGGGGGTGGGGAGCCCGGGGGCGTCAGGGGCCGGGGGGAGCCCGGGGGTACCAGGGGCCTGGGGAGGAGCCCGGGGCGGGGGCACCAGGTGCCGGGGGATTCCGGGGTGGATATGGGGTGGGGGGAGCGGGGCAGACCTGGATGGGACATAGAGGGGGGCCCGAAGGCAGAGGAACCAGATGTGGGGGATCACGGAGAGGGGAGACGCGGGGAAGCACCGCCGGGAGAGGAGAGGAGAGGAGAGGAGGGAGCGGGAGCCCGGGGAGAGGTGGGCCCGGGAGGGTGGAGAGGAGCACACGGGTGTGTGCAGGGGGTACGCAAGGGCAGGTCCCCGGGGGAGGGGTGGTGTCGGGCAGCCGGGGGGGAAGGAGGGGACGGGCCCCGAGAGGACGCCTGTCGGGGAGGGGACGGACACGGGACTGGGGCGTTAGGAGCTAGGCGGCCCCGGGCTGGGCCTGTCCCGCCCCCTTAAGGCCGATGGGGAAACTCCCCGTTGGCTTCCGGGGTGGAGGCTCGGAGCCCTGCGGTGACCTCGGGGGAAGGGGATTACGTCCCTTCTCTCCCAGCGAGTCAATCCGGCTTTGCTCTGGGGAGCCGGGACCCGGCCGGACGGGGCAGAGCGGGGGCTCCGGGGGCCCTGCAGCGGGAGCAGGGCGGTGCCAAACCTGGGCGCTGCTGTCTGGCTCCTTTTGCCCTCGTGTTCCCCACCCTCTCCGGCCCAGCCCGGGCCGCCCTGGGCACGTCTGCACAGGAAGGGGGGGGAGGCCGCCGCCCTGGCCCAGCGATGCTCAGTAACACCCCGTAGGGTGCTGAAGTGACAGCGCTTGCAGGGGAGTGAGCTGGAAAGCACCGCGGGGCACCCGGAGACAGCGCCGTGCACAGCTGAGAGACTCTGACAAGCACGTGGGGGGAAGCGATTCCTCTCTGCGCTCCTCTCCTCACGCCCCCTGGGACGGCTGTGGCCGGGAATTGCTCCTTTCCCTGAGCAGCACGGCCTCAAAATGGGGGTCGAGGCGGGGAAGCGGATCTGAACTGTACCCTGGAGGGCTGCGGTTAACCCCCCCTGCCTACACGGGATGCTCCTCTCTCAGAGCAGGCCGGGAGGCACAGAAAGGCGGGGCCAATGGGGTGGCCGGAGAAGCCAGACGCCCTGAGAGTTTCTGTAAGATTACACTGGGCAAGGGGTTGAGGGAGACGCGAAATACACGGGAAGCCAACGCGCAGTAAGAGTGTAATGGGAACATGGCCCAGCTGGGGACTAGAAGGGGCAGAACTCCCATCAGCAGGCGGCATGGCCACTCACTCATTCTACTACGAGCTAAGTAACCAAGAGGCAATCCGAATCTCCCGTGTGAAACATGCCATAAATAGAAACTACTGGACACAATATCGGGGTGATAGGCTGGCAGCTAGGGGCTTTTAAGGCACTGTTGACAGAACAGGTAATTTCTTATTCTGGTATAATTCCCCTGTTAAAGAACTTTTATAACTAAGAACATTAATATTATCTACAGACTCCCTATTAGTACTTTCTTAGGTACAGCTAGAGCAAGAATTGTGGATTTCTTCCAAAATGTAACAGCCAAACCAAACATGAAAGAGCCCTGGTTTTTAGGGCTCAGAGTCTGAGATTCGCCATCTTTTTCGCAGCAACACCGAAATATTCGACATAATGAAAGATCTTGAGATGTTACAGTATGCAAGACAGAGGAATAATCCATTTTAATTAGTCTAAATGCTGCTACTGCTGAGTTTGTGGAAATGTTCCCTGTAACTTTGCACCTCTTTCCTATACGCCGAACACACACACACACACACTCTCTCTCTCTCTCTCTCTCTCTCTCGTACTAACTACTACAGCATTTCGCTATGCTGGTTAATGGACAGTGGGTAGAAGAAGCTTGTCATGCTTTCTGAAATGATCAGAGACGCTTGGAATGTGGCCAGAATTACCGGTGGCTGCTGACGCTTTAAATAGGTCAGATACGAATATTCTACTATAGTTTCTAAATACTATTTATATGAACTAACGCACAGGGAAACTTACAAGCGTTACTACTGTTCTACAAGTAATTCAATAACTATAAACTGTTTCCTACCCCAGGACTATTCTGGAACTAGAAAGCCAACCGACACCGTACCTGAAAAATTCTATACCACTATGTAAAGAATTTCCCTCTAGTAAATTGAAAATGTTGCAAGGTTGATGCTGTCAGCTAACAGAAAGCGCACACTGCAGCCTTGCTGCGCTCTGTGCAGTAAGACTCCAGTCTAACCCATGTGCTGGGCAGGTTTTCTTGGACTGACAGGGATAGGGATTGTTCTCATAAAGCTGAAATTTGGGATTCCATGTCACTATGCCATGGTCACTATTCCGTGTCGCTTTTCGGATTAACGTTCCCCCTCCCCCTTCTGAAAGGCACAAAAATGAAGTTTAAAAATGCTTAAACTCCTGTACAGCGCAATTTCACTGTACTGTAACCAGACGCGAGCCATTTCACTTAGGCACTGTGTTGAATGCAGGCGCACAGATGGAAGCAGCAGAGGCCAGTAAATTAATCTGATATGCCACTTAACCTTTTGTTTATGGTTTCTCAGAAGTACTGTGGAATGGAGTTATGAGGACGTCAGCGGCAATTAATTAAATTAGCAAATGTCGACCATAAATACTGCGTCTGCAGCTGAGCCTGCACTATTAAAACAGTGTTAAATTGTAGTACAACCGCGCTGACTTCTTCCTATAAAAGCAATGCTGTGTAGTGAGTCTACCGTATCTGCGATTAAATGATGAGCCTATATTTGGGTATTAAAACGTATTAAGTATTTCTCCCACTACCTGCTAGAAGTAAAATAAAATACCACTACAAAGTGAGGTATGCATTGAGAAAACCTAATTATAAATATTAAATTGAGCCTGAGACTAACCGAAAAGATCCCAACAATTAATAAACTGCTTCAACCCCTTAGAACGACTACACATACACAGCTCACACTGAATGAAAGGAGAGTCTTGTGTACAAGGGATGTCAATTTTTTTTTTAATCTTTATATGTAAGATGAGACGTGGTGGTTAAACTTAAATAGCAGGACTCAGTTTATTTGAAATTAATTAGTTTTAGTGCACGGGTGCCTTTTTTAAAAGTGTGATTTGTTCGTGAAACACTGGTGGGTGATGCAATGTGATAGTAGTTAACTTTCTATGGTATCTGTGAAAAAGCCTGGACATTATAAAATGAAATCGTTAAAAAGGGGTCTGTGTCTGCCCTAGATGGTGTTATATATTCAATAGTATTCTCTAAGGGAGGAAATTACTACGGGGGAGAGGGCATGATTTATAGGAAAAATCATCCCAAAGCAATGTATATTAGGAAGTTCACGGTCTCCAGTGTAACACATTGCCTTCCTTAATAGTTACAGAGCTTAAACACAAGAAGTGCTGAGATCACATTGCTTAGCCGGTATGTGTTTGCAATTTCAGTGTCCCAATGTACCTGTATAAAATGATGAGGTGGGCAGTCATGCAACTTATAAAATGGATACTACATTAATGGTTTAATTTTGAAATACATTTACACTCTTAGGGCAGTACACTTAGGAGTCTTCTGAGACTATTTTCATAGGCTTTAAAAAGAAATTACATTGGCTTTCCCAAACCAAGGAAGAAAAACCCTTAAGGGTAACACACTGGACTGTGGGACCAAGTTAATGCATTTACAGGGCTTTGTGGCTATACACAAATTAATACAATCTGCTAGATTATTTTTAGGTTCTCAGTGTCTAAATCAGTCTCTCAGTACAGCCAATAAGTACTCCTAGAGTCTTAGCAATGAAATGGCCATTGCTGTAGCGAATGTTCATCACCCATAAAGTCTTCATAATGAACACCTTTAATGGTAAAGCCAATAGCCCAAATAGTTTGTTAATGTACAGCAGATATACTTATTCATAACAACACAGGTATAAATATTAGATATATCCAACAAGTAGAATTTAATTGTGGCATGAATTGAATTTGTCTGTGTGGGGGGTGGGGGGTAATTTAAACAATTCAATTTACCAATGTGCAGGGCATTAATTCCCTAGAAAAATCATTTTGTTTCACAGATATTAAAAAACAAACTAACCATGGCCACATATTTATTCCCTCTTCCTCCATTTATAGTAGCAATAACAACCTCTATTTTCTATGGAGGCGTATTTCTGGAGTTAATGGCCCAAAGCCATCAATTCTGCCCTGATGGTCATTAATCCCTAAGAAATGTCCCGTGCCTTGATAGTTATTGCTGAAATAATGGTCAAAACAGATCATCTCAATAAACAATTATACATGTGAACCAATGACTCCTATATTAATGTATTCCTTTAAATTTGCACATTGTTATGCAATTATAAACCTTGTAAGCCGGTCTCACTCCTGCTAGGTGATGCACAGAGAATTTTTGCTGCTTAAGCTTCATAATGAAATACCTTGAGATCTGGAGTGCTAAAGAGCCTTTCTTTTTAACATTTCAGTATTAACATGGGATCATGCCACATGAAAATTTAATCTGAAAACCTATCATTTAAACTTTAAAAGGAATGCATGGAAATTCTAGACTTATAGATTTTTTTTTCAATTCTGAAGATAAAAATCCCACATATTGTAAATCAAGTCATGCATTATTACTTACTTCTGGTTTGCAAAACCACTAAATCACTTACTGCTCTGTATAACTATTCTAGAATAGGGCCAAGCAACAAAGATGATGTGCTATACTAAAATAAATCACATAGAAATCAGTTTAAATATTTTACAAAGCAGAACTGAATTATAGTGAAATGATTTGAAGGATTACCTTTACTTGAGGATGCGACAGAATATTCGTAGCTCAAAATTGACATACAATTTGATATTGATTATAAATTCCTTTCAGTTTGCTAATAAATTCCTTTTTCTTTGCTAATAATGTCAAACTCAATTAGTAGCCAAACAGTAAGAAGGGGAAAATGTTTGCGTTAAAGTAGTATATTCAGTTTTTTAAAAAAAATCAAATATCTGAAATCTCCATAATTAATCTTAAAGTACAGGCTGATGTACTTTTAAAATTTATATCTTTTAGACTGTACAGAAGTTAAATGATTAAGTGAAATATGTGGCAATAACAGGATTTCCTACTTTGGATTGGATTGTTTACCCACTAGTATTTTTTTGTTCTTCAGCATTTCATTTAGATTTTGATTACTTATTTGGAGATAAATCAACTACAAGGGTTTAAAGTTCATTGGCAGAAAGATATTTTATTTCTGTGTTTTTGCAACACGATCTGGTAACTATTATGATCAGAACATTTCTGAAAAACTCTACCTTAATACCTGGGGCTGATAGTGATCCCATGCCAGCGTAAATCAGGAGTAGTTCCACTGGAGTTAGAGTTACATGAATCTAAAACTGGAGTGAGCCCATAATCAGGTCCCTGGAGTCTAGCTATTTTTTGTAAAAAAAAAAAAAAAAAAAGTCCGTAGGAGCAAAATAGCTGGAGATGTGAGAGTGAGCAGTTTCGTATTACTCAGAGGCAAACAAGCCATGTGATAATGATTTGAGTTAAAATATTTAGCCTACTTCTGGGAGAACTTGCTGCTACACTGTAAACCATTTCTAGCAATGGCAGAAATAGTGATGATATTGTTAGGGGAAAACTACAGCTGAGAAGTGTATAGGCATATTTAAAGTGGCACTGAATGTGTGCAACTCCTTTTTATGACGTTTTAATTACACCATGCAGGAGGAATGTCCAAGTTTCATAACCAAACATTTATATTTGTTTTTGATTTACATAGGTTCGAGCTAGTGCAATTGCTCAGGATGCTGATCAGAACTACGACTATGCCAGTAACAGCGTGGTTCTTCATTTGGAGCCAGGAGATGAAGTTTACATAAAATTGGATGGAGGAAAAGCACATGGAGGAAACAACAACAAATACAGCACATTTTCTGGATTTATTATTTATGCTGACTGATTATGAGTCAAAAACTAAGCTTGTTCTTCTAAGAGATGGATTCACGTGGCAAAAGTCAATGAATCAAGAATCCAGCGGATACTGACCGTGGGACACCTCAGTAGTGGGGGAAAATCAAATGCTACCTGACTCACATCTGTATGGCACAAAGAAACCTTATATTAAAAAAAATATATATATATAAAGCAAGTTAAACAGATGTGTGATCCACTACCGCCAAAGCAAATACTTATTGTTAGTGTCGATGTGAATGAAGTCCTATATAGATCACAAATTTTTATAGGAAAATCTAAAGACACTGAATTATTTCTTCAGTATATACGATACTTCGATGTATTATGATCTTGCTGCTTTATCCATACGTCAGCTTTGGTTCTTGTGACTTACCCGCTAACTATGATGCTTGGAGTCCACTCATAGTGAGGAATGAGTTTACAATAAAAGGAAGAGGTAATTGAAATGCTTCTTCTCTCCAAAGGAATTGTTTGCCTTGTACTTTTGTTATCCTTCTATCTAGAACTAGAAACTAATAAGTTTCAAGCCTTAACTCTTAATTTCCCTGCTTTGTGAGTGTAGGTCAGGCCTTTTAAATTATTTCCACCTGTTTGTTTAGTTTAAATTTCCTTTCCCTCCCCTTAATTGTATTCTAAGAGAGAAAGACAGAAGAAACAATTCAATAAAAATATAAGAGATGATATAACAAACTGCCTATATTTGGACCAAATCCTGGGTCCACTGAAGCCAATTGCAAAACTCCTATTTGGCCTTTATTATGTAAACAGATTTGGCTCTTAATTTGTAAACATGTGTAAATACATGTATTTAGACAATTTAACAAACCCATTCTTGATGGTTTGTTGTGTAAATACTGTTTTAGCAAATCTAACATCCACACTGCCAGGCCAGAATAATTTTTTTGCTGCAATTAGTCTTCAGTGTAAATCTGTAGTTACTACTTTTGTTTAACAAAAGATTATTTATGATTTGACATACTACAAAGAGTCAACTGAAGTCATTACATAGAACATTGTGAGAAAACCACTGGTCAAAATCCTGCTCTGCTTATTTATGCAACCCCCAGTCTTGCTGAAGTCAGTGTGAATACTTGCATGAGAGTGGGATTTGGACCCCATGTAATGATGCCATCACACAGTACCTGTTACAAGGTATTGCATTCATTTGTAGTATGGTGTGACTGAAATTAACAGATAAGCATATTACCAAATATGAAAACCAGTTATGCAAAGATAGAAACAGATTTTCAAATGCAAAAAACTGTGTACTAAAACCTATTTTTCTTATCTATCTATCTATCTATTTATCTATCTATATCTCAAAAAGGCTTACTCAGTATAATAGACTAATGGCCTGGAGAATTACATTGTAAAAACATGCTTTTCCGTTATAGTTCTACAAAAATCTTTTACAATCAGTAATAGCAGCAATATCAGTAATACCTCTATAAAAAGGATTTTTATTTAGAAATTATGTTTTTGTTTTTTTAATTGCTCCCACATCGATACTTGCCAGTTTAAGTCTAAAGCAAAGTTATAGCAGGAATACATAACAGAACCTTTACGGCAGGGTCAAAATAATTACATAGCTTCCTGTTGTAATGCTGATGCAGTACAGATCTTAAGTTACATTCATGGCAGAATAAAAATACTATTTGTATAAATTGCTATGGAGTAGTGAGAGGCCAGACCTAGTTTTTCTGTTTTACATAATCTGCAAGGCTGGCTCCAGGCACCAGCGGAGGAAGCACGTGCCTGGGGCAGCGCATGCTAAGGGGCGGCATTCCATCCATTCTTGGGACGGCAGTCCGAGTGGCTTTTTTTCTTTGCTTTGGCAGTTCGGGCAGCTTTTTTTTTTTTTCCTTGGGGTGGCAAAAATGGTAGAGCCGGCCCTGATAATCTGCCACATGCAACCTTCTCTAATCTACCAAGGGAATGGGACAAACTGAGATTTGTCATATACTAAAGTGTCAAATATCTGCCATAATTAAAGAAAAATATTTTCCCCTTTGATTTTTTGATAACTTTAAGATAGAGATTTTAAAGATAGAAAAATCCCCCTAAAAAGCATTTATTTACATGGTTAAGGCTTTTCTTACACAGACCATATCATTCTTCTGGTCTGTTCCTCCTTTGGACAGCTGTTCAATTCAAAAGACATGATGTGCCATCAGTCTATGCTCAAAAGAGAATCTCATATGTAACAAATCTTGGTTCTCAAGAGGGAGATTGTGCTTCATAACTGCCTTTTTTTTTCTGTTCCCTCATTACATCACATCAGTTTGGTTAAACATTATTACTTTCCTTGTAAAAAAGACAACAACCCATATTCATGGACTGTACTGATTATATGCAATATATTTTATAATAGACACATAGTTGACTTAACATCTACTCATATCACAATTGCTTTTATTGCAGATGACCACCGCTACAGAGTGGTTGGCAGCAAAGCCTTGGAGATTTCTCATGTAGGTATCAAATAACAAGGTTTCAAGCAAAAAATCATTTATAACTAGCAATGCACATTCACCAAGAAGTGACCAGGAATACTTCATTACCACAGGACATCAAAAGCTGGACACGTGAAAGAATAAGCTGTTGAAATGAGATTGGCATTGCTAACACACAATCTTTTCTTTGATAAATAAATATTTACCCCTGTTTTGGTCTAGAGGAAAGAACAAATATTTAAATGAAAAACATATATAAGGCAAACATTTCTTTTTTGAATCACATCTTGACAAACTGATTTGTAAACTGATTAAATCATGGCCTTTGTTATAATTGTAACAACTCATTAAATTGTATTATGTAATATATTTGGCCTTGTGGATTTTCATCTTTTCAACATCAAGCTGATTTGCATGACATTTCATATTTTCACTTGCAAGTTTCCAAAAGTTCAACTCAAAATTTAACATAATTAAAAAAAAAGACTTCTAAAACATAAAGTTGTTAGTGGTCTACAAATTGCTTTATTAAAAATATATTTTCCATGTATTCTTTTATATTTTCATTTAAAAATAATCTCTACAAGTTGTTAATCATGAGAGATACAGTACCTTTTTTGAAATCACGTTGTCTTCCTTCTGTTATTCTGTTTTCTACAGTAGCTATTTAAAAATGACATATTCTTTTTCAAGCATTAATTAAAGAACAGCAGGATAATTAACAGGATCATCAATATTACAAGGAACATCAAATCGCTCCAGAAGGGGGCTATTTAACTGGAAACATTTTAAATTTCCTCAAGTAGTTAAGCTGATGCATCTTAAAAAAAAAAAAATCCTGAATGATAACTAACTTTAGTATTAAATCTGCTCTTTGGAAGCAGTTATTTCAATATTTACTTGGAAAGATTCTGTAGTTGTGCTCAAAACAAATAACTCATTCAGGACCAGATTATTAGAGGTAATCAGATGGAGAGATAATACACAACGTTTTTTGTTCTAATTAAAAAGGGAAGTGATTACCTGCTCTTTGGGGGTCTTATGAACATCACACAAGTTTTCCTCAAAAGAACCTAGCTTTAAAATGACCACTCTATTGAAACAAATCTGACTTTTCTCAGCAAGCTTCACATACAAGATGTGAATATCTAATCATGAGCCCTATTTAAAAGTCAGCCACTGTTTTGGGTTCTCGATCAATATCTTATCAATTATAGTTTGGGGTATGCCTCTTATTAGCAATTTAGGAACAATGTTTTTGAGGATATGTGAATATCCATGACCTCCATATTTCATCAATCGATTCTTAGTGTGCACATCATGAGCAATTACAATTTTGTCTTCATAGCCTTCGTCAATTAACATCCGAATCCTGTATAAAAGTAAATACGAAGTATGTCTGTCAGTTAAGAGTTCATACAATTCTGGACGTAATACAGAAATAATTAGTATTTAAATATTTTACAGGGCCATACCTCTAGTCTGTATTATAAATGAAATGAACTATTTCAGCATCTTTAAAAGAAACAAGCAGGCTTGTTTCTTAAATATACACAAAAGATTAAACCCTCCTAGATCCATTTTAGAGAGAAGAAATCCCTTTGGAAGCAAGACAGTGTGACACATCTGCAGTGATGAGTGGGGAAAATCCACTTTGCCAGGATTTATTACACTGTTTTGCAGTCCTGCTCCATCAGTGTCAATGGCAAAATTCATGGATTTCAACATGAGTAGGCCTGGCCCACAAGGCTAAGCAATCACTTCCTACATACACTGTTCTTCAAATGATCATTTAACAGGATTAATTCTTGCCTCTAACCTAATATAAACCATTTCCATACCTGTACTGCTAAGTAGTTCAGTTGCATTTACACACTTTTTTTGAGGGATTTCCACAAACAAAGAACACGGTAATGCACAGGGATTAGATAACTTCCAACCATGGGTCTTTCATCTGAAGAAGCAAATCTCCTGGAGGATTTTTGCTCACTCTACACAGCCATTCTTAACAATACTGGTTTATTATTTTGCAATTACACAAGGAAAAGCAAAGCCACGGGTGTAAATGGCTGTAGCACTGCTGAAGTCAATCAAGCTTCTGAGGATCTGACCCAGATTGTTGAAGTTTATTCACAGAATAAAGTATGGGTGGATTATGCAAATATTAACATTTCTTTAGTGAATTTCCATCTGGAATAACTGGGCTATAGACATTTCAAGTCTTTGAGAGTCACCAATTTCCACGAAGACAAAATCACACAGATAACATCCCACCCTCAGCAGCTTATCTATGGAGAAAGTCAATTAAAATGGCTAGTCTAGCAGCAGCTGTCTTTGCTAGTGCTGTACAAATAAAAAGTAATGTCAGCAATATCACAGGTGTAAAGGGCTAATTCCACAGTCCCTGTAAACAGATTTTGCACAATCAGAGAGAGGGCCAAATTGGGACAGATGATAAGCCGGTGGCTAATGTCTTTCCCTCTGAGGGTGAAGTTTGACTGGTGGATCTGCAAAGATCACCTCTTCTGTGGCAGTGCAGAAGCAGCTTCATGAACCTTCCTGCATCCTGCCACCCTCTTCCAGTCAGCAGAACCACTTTGGTTCCACTCCTTTCAGCGTGTTCCTTCCACGCTTGCCAAATGTGGAGGGGTGGGGCATGATTTGCCCCCAAAGAGAACAAAGGTAGAATTCTGCTGGCTGATATACCTTCATGATAAGAGCCTACTACATCTGAAGGTTGTTCAACATGCTTCTCTGACAGCATCTACTGGCACAGAAGTGACTGTCAATGTGTTTTGGCCAGGTGTACGTCTTGCTGCATTAAGAGGTGACAATGTTAACAAGAGTCCTGAGCTCCCAATAGCTTGCAACATTAAAGTGGAAGAGATGAATATTAGCAAAACTGGTGTTTGTTCATTGCTTATCACTCACATAAACCTTTCGATTCCACCATTTTTACTAGCACTTTGCAATTTTGATTTTTTCATTATTTGAGTGTGCTTTGATCCCGGACAAGGAACATTATATTATTTTGTCATCAGCAATATGAAAGTTCTTATTGTCAGCTTGGGGTGGGGAAGGGCAGGATTTATACAGAAGATTGGTTATAGGGAGATATGTGCATGCAGCTGGGCAAAAATCATAATCAGCCTAAATCTGGTAAATAAGGGGACTTAGTGCCAAACTGGAGGTTTTTCATAAAATAAACATGCTAACGTTGTAAATACTGTAGGTCTGCCACAGTGAAAGTACGTCCTCCTTCCCAAAACTACATGCCAGTGCCAGATTGTGTACTTGGTAGAGGATAAGATGACAGTGGCTGGGTCTGTAAATCAAAATTTAGTACTAACCAAACCACCAGATCTGAGCAAGGAAAACCAGATAAAAGAAAAAGTAGGTAAGATGTGCCATAAAAAAAAACCCAAACCAATGAATAAACACAAATTTTGAAGGAGATTATGTCAGAGATGATGACTGGGTCAGTCTAAGATCCAGGCAGTTCCAGAAATACAACTTCCCCCACTCCATAACTCTCCTAAAAATTTACAATAAATCTACATGCCTGCTCATTAAAAAAATAATTTTCAACATACCCTTTGCATAGACCTATATTATATGTACATACACATATATATTTATAGCTGTATTTGTGTGACTAGACATACACATGTTTGTAAGTTAATTCATACATAAGTATTGGATCTGAACATGAATATGCTTGAAAATGTTCTTCTCTTTGAATACTTGTACAAACAAATGTAGGGGTCAAGTTGATATGTATTACTTTGTGTGGAATACAAATCAAATGTCAGCCTATTAGGAATCTGCAGAAAAACAGGAGACTGCCATTGTCATGGTGTTTCCAACATGAACACACTGAAAGTACAAGAAACAGTTTAATGGCGTTTCCAACCCAAATACACACACACACACAACCAGAACAAAAGGCAACCTTGTAGTATTTCTTTTTGTAAAAAGCCTGCTGCCACACTCATTCAATGCCAGGGAGCTAAGGAGGAACAGCTGTGGCTGGGGGGGGCGGGGGAAATATTATGGATGAGACAAAAAATATTACCATGATTAAGGAGAGACACATTACCCCAGGCCCAGTAGAGCAATCCTTTTGGATGCATAGCTCCCAGTGTTTTCAATAAGAGTTCTACATGCAAAACAACTCCAGCACTGGTGAATGTTTTGCAAGCCTATGTTAGAAAGGCCAAGTGTGAAAAACTGTTGTTACAACAGAACACGATTTGAGATAGTGCTTGCAAGACTGAAAAGCAATATAAATAGAGAGAAGATTTCCTATTGTGTAAAACCAGAGATCTTTCAGGCACA